TTTATTTATTGTTTTAATCTGTTGTAAGCTGCCCAGAGTCCCCCACTGGGGGGAGATGGGCAGGGATAAGTTTAATAAATAAATAAATGAATAAATGTCCTACATTAAGTTCATTATACCCATAATTGAAGTAACCTAAATCTCATGTAGTTTTGTTCTGATCCATGTAAATTTTGGAGTGTGGATCCCTGGCAAAGGTCAGATTTGGCCCTCGGTGCCCAGCTTGTTATCCATACCTGGCCTCTGCCATAAACTGGAAATGTTTCCTTCTTTTCTACTTACTTTGGATGGCTAAATCTGCCGTGGCAATTTGCTGGGGGTTGGGGATAACAGAGGCTTGGCTCACAGCCCTGCAGAGGATAGGATGATGAAGGCGTTCCTGGCCTGCCCTGGGGCCATTTTGTTGCTTATTCATTTTTGAAACCACAGTTTGAGAAGGCTGTTCTTCCACTGCAGGTATTGCCAAGTCTTTCCGTCTTTGTGCAGATAATAATCTTGCTGCAGTTTCATATACAAAAACAAAGTTCCAGGACTTTTTTCCAACTGTCTATCTATTAGTCCCAAGAGGAAAAGTTCTGGTTTCAGTTGTATATTAATCTTTAAAATCCTCTGAATCAGTGTAACTATTTGGATCCAGAATTTTCTAGCTTTTTTTACACATCCCCCAAGCATAACAAAAGTCCCTTCTTGTTCACATTTCCAGCATGAATTTGAAGTGCTTTATACATTCTAGACAATTTCTCTGTTGACATATACCAACAGTGCATCATCTTATAAAAATTCTCTTTAAGATTATGACATAGTGTAAATTTCAGTCCTTTCAACCACATATTTTCCCATTGTTCGATCTGTATATTATAACCAAAAATTGTAGCCCACTTTATCATACATTCTTTCATTTGTTCTTCTTCTGTTTCAAAGTTCAATAAAAGTTTATACATTTTAGTAATTACATGTTCATCTTCTGTACACAATTCTATTTCAAAATCAGTCTTACAATGTTCAATGCCATAAACTCTTTTGTCTACTTTAAGTCTTTCTGATAACTGTAAATAAGAGAACCATTGGCAACTATATCCATGTGCCACCAATTTTATTTTGTATTCCCCTTGACAAAATTCTAGGATCTCATGATGTTAGATAGATGTTATTTCTCATCTATACAATACTACTTATGCTGAGCCACAAAGGTGTTTTCGGACACAACCTGGATTTGCATCTATTCCATGTTCTCAATATGGCACCTCTAACAATGATTTCTAAAATCCACATTAACTTTGACATTATTGTACCACAAATATCCATACCACCCAATCTCAGGTCATGTCCTTCTAACATCAGCAGCAGCATCCAA